GCAGCGTGGGCGCCCGGGTGCCTGGCTGCCTGCCTGCCCCAGGGTGCCCGGGAGAGGGCCTCCGAGTCCCTTTCACTGCCTCGGCAGCCCCAGCCCCCGAATGTCCTTCTGCGCCCAGCCTATACCCCCGCATCTGTCTATTGCCCCAGCTCTTGGCTGTGAGGACCCCAGCTCCCCCAGCTTTTCCGTTTCTCCATTAGGGTTGGAGGGTGACGGACACCGCTCGCCCCCTTGCTCCCGGGGGAGCTAACGCGAGAAGGTAGTGGGCTGCGGGGAGCGCCAGAGGGGAACAGCAGGAGGCCAGGTCACGGGCTGGGCAGGGCCCCACCAGGGAGCAAGGCCAGTACCCAGGCTGCTGTTGGGGTCAGGGGTCAAACCAGAGTCCCTGGGGAACCGGAGGGGAGCCGCTGGGCCTCCTGCAGGGCCACCTCCGGACCCTTGGCTCCCCTGGCCAGAAAGCCCTAGGATTGTCGCTTAAGTGGCCGTGGGCACAGCCCCGTCCTCCTGATCCTGGGGCCACTCGCTCCATCCACCTTGACAGCTGGGAGGGAACACGAGTGTCCTGCCTGTGGGGGGCTGGGTGTCCCCACCCTGTCGGTCAGATGTCTCCGTATTTGAGTTAGGGAGCAGCCCCAGACCCAGGGGTACAGTGGCGATATGCAGATGCCTGCACTCAATTTCACAGACACTCGGGATGTTTTCTTCATTTGTTGGAAGATGAACTTGGGCTGTGATGATTCTTGCTCGGATTCCATGGTGCCAGCTCCCCAGTGCTCGGCCCTGCCCCACAGCTGCCCCCGGCTCCTTCCCTGAGTGTGACGGGAGTATGGTGTCCCCGCTGGCACCACCACGATGCAGCTCCCTGGTGACGGTGCCTGGGGTGTTTGGCTCCCTCGTGACAGCCTCCTTCCCTGGCTTGGTGTCTCCTTGTGCATCAGAGACTCTGCTTTCTCCTCCCCAGCATCATGACCTCGACAGGCAGCCTTTCACAGAGGAGCAGACATGGGCCCAGAGAAGGTCGTCCACCTACCTAAGACCACATAGTGAGTCAGGGGCTTGAGCCACGGTCTCACAGGCCTCTTCTCCTCCACCCTCTTCCCACCTCACTCTTCCACCAGCCCGGGCCCTGGAACCTCTTGCCAATTTATCTTCCCACAGTACTCTTCTTCCACCCCACCTTGGTGAACTCCTGTTCATCCTTCAAAACCCGCCCTGAAGTCAGGGGCCCCGGCTGGCCCCCAGAAGCCTAGTGGTGAGTGGATGGTGGGGCTAAGCTAGAGGAGAAGTGGCTGCCCTGGCCCTAGCCTTGAAGTCTTTCAGAGTTTAGGGGAAGTGTCTGACTCGGCCGTGAGGGGAGTGGTTGATTCCACATGGAGATGCCTCCCGGGGCCGGATCCTCAGGAGCTGGGTAATGCCCTCAGGCCTCTGCCAGCCGGGCTGGGCACTCGTCCTGTACCCGAAGGCCCCTGGCCCTTGGCAGAACTCACCCAGAAGCTCTGTTCAGACGAGTCACTCCCTCCTGCCCGCCAGCAGCGAGAAATTCCCAAAAATTAGAGGGCCAGAAATGTTGAGGGCGTCGTGTCCGGTTTCCTTGGCATAACATCAAAGACCGAGGAGGCTTCTGTGACTGGAATTCTGAAGACAGTTTCGGTCTGGCTCGGGATGGAGTTTCAAACCCCTGGGGCTTCCAGCTGGCTGGGGAAACCCCAGCTCCCCTTCCAGGTCCTGTCTTCCCTCCTGGCTGTGTAGGAGTGAGGCTTGAGCTTACTGTGAAGACTCAGACAAACTGTTCACCCCCTTCGGGCCTGTGCCGGCTTCAACTTAAAAGGGGCGATGAACCCACCGGGCCCAGCCAGAATCCAGTGCGTCCCCCAGAAAGGCTTGGTGCGTGGAAGGCCTGGTTACCGATGGGTTTCTAGGAAGTGATCGGATCGGGAGGCCCTGACTTTCTCGGTGGTAACCGGAAGTGGAGTAAGGGTCACAGGGTGTGAACTTGAGGACCATAGCTGGGCCCTTTACCCAGTCCACGGAGTAGCCATGGACTGAGACCTCTGAAACTTGGAGCCAGTTAAACCATAGGCATTTGGTGCCAGGGAGGGAAAGGAGACCAACACATCAGGGTGAGGGTGGGGGTCACACCCCTCTGTCACCGATTCCTCTGTCCTCCGGCAGCTCCTTAAAGCTCTGGACATTGAGCGTCAGCACACCCAGGGCCCCCACGTCTCCAAGGGAGACGAGCTGTGAGCACTACCCGTAGCTGCTTGGTGCTGGGTGCTCTGCAGCCCAGGGACTGTGGGCTCCCGGGCCAGTCAGATCTCACCGTCCCTGGGGCAGGACCCCAAGTGGCCCCCACAGCCCATGAGGCCGAGGTTCCAGGCGGGTGCACCCCAAAGCCTTTCTGTCTCAGCAGCAGCCTGAAACTCACTGCAGACTCCCCTGGCCCCAAGGCTTGAAGGTGCTGTTTCGCTGTGTTCCGGTTGGGTTTGTTTGGTTTCAGGATCCCCGTCCCATCCCTCGTACCAGGGCAAAGGTCCTGCCAGCTCCAGGAGTGCCGGCCCCTTCACCTGGCCTCCACCCCACGTCCTCCCGCGGCCAAGGAGTGCCCAGCAGGGGGACACCTCACAAAAGCCCAGGGCTGGCAGTTCGCCGCTCAATCAGCCTGCTGTGGGATGTGTGGCATGGCGAAGTGAGCCGCTGTCCTGGGTCAGAGCCAGGTTCAGATCCTGGCTCTGCGCGTCCGTCCGTGGGAACCCTGAGTCCAGCCCCTGCCTGTTGCGGACCTCGGTGTTCCAGCCTGTGAAGTGGGTGCAGGTGGACGCGGCCCGGGGGTGACTGAAGGCAGCACAGGGCCGGTGTGCAGCAGCTGCGTCTGTGGACACAGATGTCACTGTCAGCCCGTCGCTGGGGGGGGGGTGAGGAGACACCCAGATTCCCACACACAGCCACGTCTACTTCACATTTTCCTGCCTTCCCGGGCACGCGCTGCTTCTGCTCTTCTAATAATAACGTGTATGTAATTTTGCATTCCGATTTTATTCAATTAGCATCAGCTTGGCCATTATCCTGCGAGTTTACTTAATCTCTCTAAATATCATTTTAGCAGCTACCCAATAGACAGAATCCCACGTGCTGGCATTAATTTAGCATTTCCCTGCAGCAAGACATTTTGACGGCACACTTTTTTTTTTTTTTTTTTTTTTTTTT